GCACTGATAGATTGCGTAGTTTGTGCTCGTCCTCCAGAATTAACGTGACGCGTCCTAACGCTGCAATATAGGAGTAACCAGTAGGGGTAGTTGACAAAATGAACGAGACACACTCACCATGGTGACTCCGTCTCTGGTTTAGAGGTCTTTCACACTATCTACTATACCGCTGCTGTCTTTTCTTTCTGTCGTAATCTCAAAATCGACCAGTTAATGAGCTTTTTTATTGACGCCATGTTTGTTTTGGTTGTCCCTACAAACCTAGTTCTCTATCAGGTCTGATTTCTCTCATCTGCCCCCTAGTGGAACACTCCAGTACTACATGCAGTGCAGTGCAGTGTAGCAGCAAGTACGTGACCAAAGACGCAGCCTGCTGCCTGCACCAATGTGAGATTAAACAGCAAGTATATCACAGCCCTTAGCTAGCTTGGCAAGGCAAGTCATCAAGCCAATGAAACCACCCAGTCATGGGGCGGGATCTATGGTTGTCTTTCAAACAGTCTCTGCATGCAATCGGACAGCGTTAGGACCAATCAGAGCAACAAACAACGTGTCGTACTCCTAGCTACGAATGTCAGTCAATGGGGTAGTCCAACATAAACTATGAAAGAAGAAGCAACTAATTCCCGTTTTGAAATAAACAACCTAAGTAGTACCTCTATCAACAGAAAGGCTCAGGTCTAAGTAGTCCAAAGTTTGTGCCAAAGCCATGACAAACAAGCACTGTTCCAGAGCAGACGCCAGACGCCATTGCAAAGCTAGCATTAAGCTATAGCATTCAACCCGCCTAATTTGCAATTTGATTGGCAAGACAAAAAAAAAACTGTTGAAGCCAATGGTAGAGCTGAGTCTACGAAGGAGTGTGGCAATACCAACCTGCAGAGCTAAATCTTTTGCCACTGCAACAGTTGGCCTAGCCTTCTTGGCTAACTCTTAACTACAATTAAGTCAAAATGGCCAACAGCCGGCTGCTGCGCAGTGGTGCAGTGGTTAGAGCTGTTGCCTTGCAGCGAGAATGTCCTGTGTTCGCTTCCCAGCTTTCTGCATGGAGTTTGCATGTTCTCCCTGTGCATGCGTGGATTCTCTCCGGGTACTCCGGCTTCCTCCCACAGTCCAAAAACATGACTGTTACGTTAATTTGTCTGTCTAAATTGTGTGTGTGTGTGTGTGTGTGTGTGTGTGTGTGTGTGTGTGTGTGTGTGTGTGTGATTGTTTGTCCTGTGTGTCTCTGTGTTGCCCTGCGATGGACTGGCTCTCTGTCCAGGGTGTACCCCGCCTGATTGCCCATTGACTGCTGGAGATAGGCACCAGACCCCCTTCGTGACCCTATGTGGACAAAGCGGGTTCAGACAATGGATGGATGGCTGGCCAACAGCCATTGTAATATACAACAACTCTTTGATGACTTGATTATTATTATTATTCTGAGCTACTACAGCAATCAATTTCCCTCTGGGATTAATAAAGTATTCCTGAATTGAATTGAATTGAATTGAATTGGATTGAATTGAATTGGATTGAATGCTATCTGTCACAAGTAGACTTGAGTTCTAGTATTTTTTGTTTTTTTTCTAAAGTTTACCTGTGGTAGCGTTCTTCAAATGGGTTAACTTCAAAAGTAAATCAATTGTAGATTCGTTGAAACTAAAAATCTAATTATCTAGGACATATTTTGGGAACGGACAGGCCACAAAACATTACTGCAGCCTTCCACTTTCCGCTGCAGCCTGCAATGCCACAGAACGTAGGTTTAATCATGAAGTTTGATGAAAGCTTAATTGCATGACCTGCCACTTTCTGCACCTCACATGTTTTTTCCCTCTTTATTGACTTTTGTTGTTGAAACTTGACTACTGAAGGTGCATGCTTTGCATTTTTCCTGGGGTGACTTACTGTCAAAGACTTCCCATAATGCCTGGTGCCCTTGGCAAATTATGCAAAACTTTACCTCACATCCACTGTCAGCTCTTTGGGCGGACTATGTTCCCCCCTCATCTGTGTGTACAAAAGCTTTGTCTTCTACAAAAACAACAGGATTAGAGCGTGTTTTCAATTTTACATGTCGACATCATCTTCTGCTTTCATTTGAAGTCATCTTTGTTGTTTACAATGAAAATTCATGGACCTGAATGTATAGATGAGCCCAAAAGAAGATAACATGATAAATAAAACTGATGTTTGTCAGTGTAAAAATAAATGTTTTATATCGTTTAAACAAAGCACCATTCCACTCCACTGATCCCTTCATTCTTCTAGCAATCTGCCCATCCATCTGTTTAATCCAACTAATTACCTCAACATCATTTTTCTCTTTATACCACTGATTCGTTTATCAGTTTATTTAATTCTGCACGTGGATCAGCAGCACAGATTTGACCATACAGTCCTTCAAAGGCATTCAAAATAAAACGAATGCTCAGATCCTGTGCACAGGTGTGAAAAATCACACCTCCGTCTCATTGCAGTGCAAATGAAAAAAAAACATATTATCTATACGAAAACACATAGAAGGAGAAACATCTGTAGTAGTTATCAAACTGGTAAAAAACTAGGTTTGGTTGATTTTGTCTACCAGGGTTTTAGGTTTCTTTTGGGGACAATACCACCTTAAATCTAAAATTACCCCCAAAATGTCAAAGTCAAGACTGCTCCGTTTATCAAATTTGTCCCACATATCAAGTTCTTATTTGTGATCTTGGTTTTAAAATGTCCTAGAAACATTTTAGTGATGCAGAGGAAGAGTTCCCTCCCTGTCACCTGCGTGACCCTATAAAGAGAGCATGCTTTGTGCCTGCTCTTTTTTATGCGCATGTTCCATATGTTCAATTGCAGTTGTTAATTTTGACATGAAGATGTGTGACTTCAAAACACAGGAAGTGGAATTTTGGAGGGGAAAACCTCCGCCCGCTTAGAGGTGCACACAAACACGAGCTGGCAATCTTTTAACCAAGGGTGAACGGTGCACCGCAAATAGTAAACACCCCAGGATGACCCCTCTCTCTCTCACATTCAGAGTATTTTTGTTGACAACATGCACTTTAGTTGAAGTTTCATCTAAAACATGAGACATTTATTGTGAAAATATCTTCACAATTACCCAAGCAAAAATCTTTCTTTCTTCACCCTGTTCTATTTTTAGTTTTGGGAGACACACCAAGCCTCAAATTTCTTTTCAACGTGCAGATGTGCAAGAATATCTCTCGTCTGCATCACTTGTGGTATCAGATTATTCTCTGACATTTTCACTATCCTCTCATTCATCTGCACATTGACTACTGTAGTTGAAGGTATCTTTGGGCAAGTTGCAGAGCAATTCACAGAGAAACAAATGCAATCAAGTGTCTGCAATAGCTCTGATTTCTCTCTGCTTTGTGATCAACGGGGCGTAGGTTAATAAAAAGATGATGATTTTTCTCCTTCAAGAACAAGCACAACCGACCAGCGACGAAGAAAGCGCACCTGCAGCCGTGCAGAGACCGAGTAAGCAAAAAGAAAAAAGAAAAAACTTTATTAAAAGATGATGTTTCGTTCATAATTTTCTCCTTTTTTTATCATCAGAAAAACGAAAGAGGAGAATCAGACGACAAAGTAGGCCGGTAGGAAGTAGGATTCTCTGGAGGTTTCTTCCTGTTAAAAGGGAGTTTTCCTCTCCACTGTCACTTTATGCTTGCTTAGTATGAGGATTGCTGTATAGTCACTGACACTAGTCAGTGACTCGATGCAATTTGCTGGGTTCCTTATATAGGAAACATTATTTCTGATTGGCTTAATGAACTGACCTGAATTGGAATGTTTATTATGTGAAGTGCCTTGAGACGACTCTTGTCGTGATTTGGCACTATATAAATAAACTTGAATTGAGTTGAATAGTTGAATGTTTTTAGGGATGGTAGACAGCTGACCAGATGCGTACACGCCGCAAAAATAATCTCCCAGCAGGTTCGATAATATTCTGTCCAATTCGTGATTATCCATTAATAATAATCCACTAATACCTCTCTCTTTGAGTTTATCTCCAGAATGGAGTCATCACAGGCATACACAATGAGTGTAGCCGTGGCTCTCAATTCATCTGTGTAAAATAGAAATCATGACATTTGATACAATTTGAAAATTTTTAAACAAAATTACGAACCATAGCATCATTCTTCTCTACATTTTTATGATATTTAGACAGAATTTGTTTCAGAGAAACTCCACAAGCCGTGCGACACAGGAAAAAAAACACTATGGTGACCGCAGCGGTCGGATGCTAAACTCTGTAGCTGTTTATCTTGATATTGTATTCTTGAACAACGTAGTGCTAAGATAGCAGGAAAAAATATGTCAGTCTAGATTGTGTATGTGAGGTGTTGTGAGCTCAGATGGGCTGTTCTTTAACCATGGGGCATAACCTTTGACAGGATGATTGTTGACATTTGCACCCTTCTTAGACGGGACATAAAAGTGTGTTGCATGCATGATGGATCTGTTAAGTTGTTTCTACGACTTGCTGAAAAGAAAATGCTCGCTACTTTTTTCTGCATCTTCTTCTCTTCATTGTTTGCTCTCACTTGATGGCAGATTGATAAGACCTGAAAATGCAGTTTCTTGGAAAACTAAATTAGTTTGTTGGAAAAACGATGATAGAGCTGAACATTGCAGTTTTGTAACAAAATTTTTTTAACTGATCAACAAGTCAAAACAACCGTTTCAAATCACATATTGAAACAGGTGCGTAATTATTTTTAGTAGAAACTGTGATGATTTTTTAAATTCACAGATGATCCCTACAATGAACACAATCTAAAGTCATAATAAGTTAAATAAAGGTTGATAATCGAAGACATATATTTAGCTCGTTGTTTTTTATGATTACTGTCTCCGTATCAAATTAATTTCTAAGCTGTATTAGTTTATTTGTCCAAAATTAGTTTGTAAATATTAACTGACCGTGGGTCCGTTTGAACTGCGCCCACTCAGAGCCGCTCCTGTCAGTAGAACTGATTCCAGTACATACAGGAAGTGACGTCAGCGGAAAAATCTTGAAGTTATCTTTTTTTAACTTTAATACGCATTTTGAAAATTTGTATGATCCGTTGTGAAAATATAAACGTTAGAAAACATTTTACATTTAGCTTAGTTGTTTTCGGTGCTGCTAAATAAATCGTAATTCGTACACTCGTTGTTGAAAACTACACAGGAGCAAACTCAATGGCAGCCGCGGTGGTAAACACATGTATGTGAGCTGAATAACATCTACACCGGGACCAACAGAGGACAGAAAGACGAAATGTCTCGCCACAGAAATGTTCGAGGTTACAACTACGATGAAGGTAGATTACTTTAGTCAGTATTTGTTGCTTCATTCGTTGCCTTCAGACTGCTAAACACCTTAGCCGCTAGGCTAAAATTAGCTAGCTAACGCTAGTTCGACGTTCACCTGCCAAAATAATAATGCTGTCGTGTCATTTGGCACCAAGAAAAAAAAAAGACAAATTACACCTCAGTACCGGCGTTTATGTGCATATCCACTGATTCAGGTGTTAACGTAAAAACCTGAAATCAATGAAAACAACTTGCATGATAATAAATGTAGCGGCTGCTATTCAGTGATTTGTTAGAAAGCTCTAAACGCATGAATTGTACAAGTTTCATCTAAGACAGCTAACATACACTCAACGGTTACGGTTCTCAAACCGGAGTAATTACCCGGCGACCATCATGCTAGTTAGTTTGTTGCGGATTTTTAAAATTGCTGACAAGGCAGAGTGACATCTGGCACAAAGCACTCTGTAACAATGATGTAAAGAAATATTTGGCAAATGATTAAAAGCACTTATTTGACCTTGTTCTTTTGTATATTTTTAATCAGATTTTGAAGATGATGACATGTATGGACAATCTGTGGATGATGACTACTGTATATCACCAGCAACAGGTTGGTTTCCAGTGACTCATTAAGAGTAAATACTGTATTAATAAAGGACTGGTTTAGTTTCCTTCTGAGACCCTTTCTTAAAAATGTCCAGTAACAGATTTTAAAGTCTTTACTGTAACTAAAGTGACCAATTACTCTGATCAAAATGCCAGCCAGCCAAATAAAACAACCTATTCTAATAGGTCTTCCCATGTTGCCAAAACTGCTCAAATAGAACAAAAGATCGATATTGATCACCTCTTCAATCTCTGGTTATCAGTCACCTCTGAAAAGAATGATGAAAAATCAAAATGTGACCTGTTTGTATTTACATGTTTTTTTCTATGTAGCATTAGTAAAATTCTGCATGGACACAACTAATCTGCAGCTATGTCTATAACTGAGTCAAGTTAACACATTATGGGCTAAAACTTTGTTGTTTGATCTTCAGTCAATCCAATTAAAGTTAATCGAAAATTTCTAATAATGAAATGGCTTCAGTTTAGTCAGTCTTGAAGATATTGAGCGGTAACTCCATAATTTGTCAACATGGGATGAGGATATACTCCGACATGAAAATGATCAGACAATATGCGTTTCTTTAAAGAATGCTGGGTCTTTGATTTTTCATCTTTTGGCTGATGCTGTTGTGTATTACAGGTTTGCAGTCAGCACTTAATTAAACAAAATTTTGTTCATTTAGCTAATCAGTTCATTTACTCACGTCGAGAGCGACAAGCCCCCAAAGAGGAGCCTTTAGAGGAGGAAGAGTATGAAGTGGAAGATGTTCACATGTCCCCAACAGCCGACCACAACCTTGACCCTCTTAATCAAGGTACTCTTTTTATTTCACTGCAACTACAGACAAAATGTTTTTGGATTCTTGTGTATACATTTTTTATGTTTTTACATATGATTGATCCTGCTGAATCGATAGTTTTTTTCGAATATATTTTTTCTAACTCCCATGTTTCGTTCTAGCTAAGCTGTATTCCTGCCTGGACCACATGCGGACCGTGCTCGGAGACGCAATGCCAGACTCGGTGCTGACCCAGGCTGCAGTCAGACATGGGTTTGACCCGCAGAGGGCATTGGATGCAGTCCTGTCTGAAGACACCAAAACGGCCCCGGTTACCAGAAGTGCAAATGAAGAGATGACATCAGTCAGTAGAGTTTGTCAAGAGACGACGCCTCTTCCACAAAGAACCAAGCAGGAGATTGTGGCTGAGAAAGGTACGCCTAGAGTGAATCAAACCTGAAGTTTTATTTGTTTTAAATATTGGAAATGAGTGAAATCAGATAATAATCATTAATTCTGTATGCTTAGCACTTTATCACTAAGAGGGATTTACTACAGGCTCTATTGATGACACATTTCCATCATGCATGTGTTTAACAAAGTGCCTTGTTACTTTTTGTTCTTGCTTCTTAAATGTGGTGTGATTCATCACTTCTGCTCATGTGATCCTCTCGTCCCTCCTCTTCGACAACTTCGCTTGGCTTTCGTAAGGTAAGGAGCCTGCTTGTCTGCTTCTCACACAGACACTACATCCACGGCACATAAACAAACACAACCAAGTGCACGAAACCTCTTATCAGCGCTCGAGACCGGGCCTGCAAGTAGCAGCTGTGCAAAGAAACGTTTTCAGCTTGAAAATGCTCATGGAGGCGTCGGCGGCAGCACCAGTTTGGCTCAGCTCATGTGTGAGCACGAGCGAAAGAGTAAAATGAGCGCAGTTGATAACAAGTTTTGCTTAGATGTTTCATCATTGAGTGTAGCTTCCAATTCATTGCCGACTATTCCTAATCAGAGTAGCCTATCACTTGGAACTCTGGCATCTTTGAAAATGTCCTCTGAATCTAACACAGCAGCTCCCTCCATCCTTTCCACTTCACTCAATAACCTGTCACTAAACACCCCCAAGGTGAGAAGCTCCACTGTAGCTCCTCCTCCTGAGTTTGGAAGTCTCAGTTCTGTTCCGCATCCATCGACGGCCGATCCTAAAGGCAGTCCTTCATTGGCTGATTTAATCCAGGAGCACACCAACCGCAGCCCAGTTCTGAGTAACTCGCTCATTTCTGGAAGCGGAGGGCCTTCTGTTGCAGCACCCACACTATCGCTGTCTGAGCTTGCTTCTCAGCACCAGATCACTCAGGTTCTGCCTCGGTCACAGAGAGCAGTAAGCACGGTCTCCTCTTCCAACACGAGCAGCCTCACTCCTTCTTTTCTCAGCGGGACCGTCTTGTTATCAGAGCTAGCCCAGCAGCATCAAACCAGCTGCTCCCACCAGCCTCTCAGCCCTGAATCTCAACCACCTGGCCTCTTTTTGTCACATGTTGCATCCGAACAAAAAGGAAAAACCTCAACCACCTCAAATGGGTCACAGTACTCTCTCACTTCACTACTTTCACCAGCAAAACCAGAAAAGGCTGACGTGTTGGCAGAAAGCTATACGGAGGGTGGGACTAAGTGTGAGTTTGACCACAAACCATTCCAGCGAGTCTCCAGGCCGTCTAAACTGGGTCACACTATCGATCTGAGTACACTCATGTCCCAGGCGGGCAGTGACCCCCCCTCACCGTCGTCTCCAGTGTCTCTGACCCAGAGGCGAGGCTGTTCGGTTTTCGCAAAGCCGTCAGTGTTTGCGATGACTTTGTCATTCCAGAGCCACGGACAACAGAGAGAGAGGAGAAATGTAACGAGGGGAAAAATAAAAGTCCAGAGGACAAGGAGTGGTCACCAAAAGATGCTTGATAGCAAACCGCAAAACAAATCCAAAGAGCAGCTTCTCCCAATCAAACCGTTTCTCTTCGACTCGCCTTCGCCTGACGATATCGTTCGCGCCAACCAGAAGAAAGCTTTCACGAGACAGACTTAAGTGGTGGCACCATCATCGTTCCTGAGGAGCCTTTTAACTGTGAATGCTGCAGCTGAAGACAAAAGTCTTTGGGATCAACAGGAACTTGCACTGATTGGCTCAGAATGCCATCAAAAGCTTTCAAGACATTTCCTTTTTATGCATTATATAAATCAGTTATGTCTTCGTTTGCGGTTATGTAAAGCAGAAAAACACTGGCAGCTTAATCGATCAAGGCTCTGAGTTATAACAGTTTTACCTTTTAGAAAGTTTTTTTCCATATTTGCCCTCGCTGCCTTTTTTTCCTCAGCATTTTAAAATGTAAATGTTATTTTTGTATGCTTCAGTGCCAGAAGGCCTTTTTAAAATTTTGTAGGCTTGGAAAGTAGTTTGCCTGTAGTTGGGGGAAACTGCAGTGTTCCTCATTTGCAACGACCTCTTTTTCCTCATCCGAGCTGCATCGAGTCTCAGAAGGGAAAAACGAAGAGTTTGGCTTTGTCTGCAGGTGCGCTGCAGCCCTTGGAATATGGATCAGCTAACCATTGTGCTGGTTTACTGCTGCTTTAGCTGAAAGATCTTGTGGTTGACTATTTGGTTTGGAGAACACCTGGAGATTTTCCCATGAGAGAACAACACACACACACACACACACACACACACACACACACTCACACTCACACTCACACTCACACACACACACACACACACACACACAGAATAGTGATGCTTTTAAGTGTTTATTAACAAACATTGAGATTCTTTACAACGTGTGTGTTGTGAAGATGTTTACTTAATGAGTTTATTATTATGTAAATAGGTATTTAGAAGATTTAGTACATTTTGAAATAAAGCTTACAGAATTAATGTCATCTGTGCAATTTTTAACTCATATCTTTGGGTTCGTGTGTGTGTTTAAATCCAGTTTCTCAACTGGGCTGTGACTGTTTACGACTAATCATCAAAGAGGCACTCTCAAAGGAGTTCCCAAAATCAGGGATGCACCGACACGAACATTTGGGTATATATTGATATCTGATATTAATACTGCTGTTATTGCCGATAACTGATTTTAGGAAATTATTGAATTGCAATTTTTGGGCAGAAATTACAATTCAGTTTGATTCAGTTTTCTTTGATTCAAGCTTCAGCACATTATTCACAATATACAGTTGCATGTACAAACATGACGGCTAACCATACCATCAACACATTAAAAGCTCATACTCTAATAATGCAAGGATGAAAATCAGAATCAGAATCAGAATAGGTTTATTGCCATTGTCAGTGCACAACCAATTCACAATCTAGGAACTTGCTTTGGTACTAATGTGCTACATATAACATGAATAATAAGATTAAAAATAGAGTAAAATAGAATAAAACTTTCAGCTATAAAAAAGTCAGGTAATGGTAACATGGCCGATAACGTAACTTTGTGTCGAGTACAGAAGACCACCATGGTTGCGTGTTTATAAGCTGTTCACAAGTCTAACGGCAGATGGAAAGAAGCTGTTCTTATGGCGGGAGGTTCTGGTCCAGATGGGCCGTAACCTCCTGCCTGAGGGAAGCGGCTCAAAAAGTCTGTGACCCGGGTGAGAAGGGTCAGCTGCTATCCGACCTGCACGCCCCCGAGTTCTGGAGACGTACAGGTCCTGGAGAGATGGAAGGCTGCAGCCAATCACCTTCTCAGCAGAGCGCACAATGCGCTGCAGTCTATGTTTGTCCCTCACCGTGGCTCCAGCGTACCACACAGCGATGGAGGAGGTGAGGATGGACTCAATGATGGCCGTGTAAAACTGCACCATCATCTGGGTCGGCAGCTTGGCCTTTTTCAACTGCTGCAGAAAGTACATCCTCTGCTGGGCCTTTTTGATCAGGGAGCTGATGGATGGCTCCCACCTAAGGTCATGTGTGAATGTGGTTCAGAGGAAGCGGAAGGAGGCCACAGTGGTGACGGGGGTGTCCGTCAGGACGAGGGGGAGGGATGGGGCTGTGACTTTCCTGAAGTCCACAATCATCTCCACTGTCTTCTGAGCATTGAGCTCCAGGTTGTTGCTGCTGCACCAGTACACCAGCCGTTCCACCTCCCTCCTGTAGGCAGACTCGTCACCGTCAGAGATGAGCCCGATGAGGGTGGTGTCGTCCGCAAACTTGATCAGTTTAACGGAGTCATGGCTCGAGGTGCAGCAGTTTGTGTACAGGGAGAAGAGCAGAGGAGAAAGTACACAGCCCTGTGGAGATCCTGTGCTAATAGTCTTAGCGGTGGAAACATTCTTCCCCAGCCGCACGCACTGCCTTCGGTCCGTCAGGAAGTCAGTGATCCACCTGCAGGTGGAGTTGGGTACGTTGAGCATGGAGAGCTTATCCTGGAGCAGAGCAGGGAGGATGGTGTTGAACGCAGAGCTGAAGTCCACAAACAGGATCCTAGCGTAGGTTCCCGGGGAGTCCAGGTGCTGCAGGATGAAGTGGAGGGCCAGGTTGATGGCATCGTCTACAGACCTGTTGGCTCTGTATGCGAACTGCAGAGGGTCCAGGAGGGGGGAGGTGAAGGACTTGAGATGAGGGAGGACCAGGCGCTCAAAAGACTTCATGACTACAGACGTCAGCGCCACAGGCCTGTAATCATTCAGTCCAGTGATACGGGGTTTCTTAGGGACAGGGACAATGGTGGACAGCTTAAAGCAGGCTGGAACATGGCAGGACTCCAAGGAGATGTTAAAGATGTCCCTAACCCTAACCAAAGGTAATTTAAAAAAATGTATTTATCAACAAGAAACAAGCATGCACAGTTTTCCCCGATGACCAAGGAGGCCCATCTGAACGTTTTTATCACAACACCGCCACACTGAACTCTGGCACATTTTATATGTGTACTTTGAACTACTCTGCAATGGTACACCATCAGAAAAATTCTAACTGGATTTTGAAAAAGACAAACAACCACAACCATATTGAGTGTAGCAGCATCATGAAAATAAAAACCAAAAGTGCCACCCAGTCGCGAACTTGGCACCGGGCTCCCTCAACCCCCAAACCTCGCCGGCATTTGTTGCTGCCATCGTAACACGTTAAAAACCCGGGAAAACAGCAGATGTGTAAAATAGTCGACACAACAGATCCTGGATCAGCCAGGAGCAGTGAAAATAACCGCAGTTTGGACAGTCACTTGATCGTGTTGTTTAAAATCGTAATTTGGATTGGAGAACGATAGACTGTTCAGCTCTATTTACCAATATAAATATATATACTTTCAACACGGTGTCAATTTGACCACGACAACTATGTTGCATCTTTGTCTCAGCTGATCTTCCCCATAATCCCACGCTTCATCACTGTCACTATTCCAAACAAATACCACATGGCCAACCCCTCCCC